CATCGATACTCACATCTCTCTCAAAGTTGTCCGCTTTTCCGTGATGCCGATTGGTTCTCTCGCTGCGCTAACTTCGTGAATAGCTGTCATTGTCTAGTAGTATTAAAAAAGTAGCGTAAAAAGTAACAAATTATTTCTTTTTTGTGATAATGATAATAAGTTACTTTTCAGAACTAGTAATAATTCATAATAACTCATTACTCATTACATACTCATTACAAGATAACTTCTTCTTTATTAATATCAAGTAAACGAAATATATAAAAAAGTAATATTTTCAACGTAAGTCAAAATAAAAATTTCCCCTTTTCAAAACGCTTTAAATGTCTGTAAATAGTATATCTTTGTTAAAAGAAATATTGAAATTTTCCTGCCTTTATTTATGTAACATCATCGATTTTACGCTTTCAAACCCAATTGTAATTCAAACCCCAATGTAACATCATCGATTTTATGCATTTAAACACTTGAGATTCCTGAGGTTCCTTTCTTGCCAATATAAAGTAATCACATAAATATTTATTTCTTGTCAAGTAAAAACATCAAAAAAAAACCTTTTGAGACAATTTTGACAAATGTATTGTATTCATTTTGGTGACACGTTGAGAGGAATCAAATTTACACAATATATTACTACCTGAGTCCTGTAACAGTAGTCCGATTACACATACTATCCGAATACAATGCTCGAGGCGATCTTCCCTATCGACACCAAGTAAATAAAGGTTTTCCTATTGGGAAATGATTTTCGAAATAATGATTTACTTTTTCCTTTCCGGTGAGAAGATCGATTTTAAGCCATTCAAATGCTTGATTTTGCTTCACAGAATAGAACAACAAATTTGTTTTCAAACGAGGTGTCGAAGTATCTTCGGCAGATAAAATAGAGATTTCAGCTTCACATATCTTTCCTACACATACAATTACTTATAATCATCCCTCAACAGGTTCTCATTTGATAAAAGAAGTGACACTTTTAAAAAAACACTTTTAATATACGTTTTGTTTTTCCATTACCTGCATTTCCATTTGATGCTGCCACTTACGGTGCACGATCGAAGCGCAACACAACTTGCCGTCTCGCGTTGCCGTAGCAACCGCGACTTGTTTGCATGTCCCCGATGTGAATTTCGAATCGTGGTTTTGCAATCGCGCTAATGAATACGGCGATCAGTCGTTCCGTCAAACGGACGTCCTTTTTCCCGCCCCCGCATCGAATAATCGGATTGAAATGAACGACATCGCGACGAACCTGCAAGACGTGGCCGAGAGAAATCTCGTATTTGGCATACCACAATCACCAGGATATCCGGAGGATGGGCGCGAGATTGAAAAACCTGTTAGAACCGTCGACGAGATTCTGCGACAAGTACAACGCGAATTATGCTTGATCGAGCTGTGTTGGCCGGATGTTCCGCCGATCACGGAGGATCTCTATGCGCGATCACTTCCGGATAGTTATCGTTGCGTCAGCGACAAGGAGCGATTGCTGCTGTGGTACGCGGAAAACTTCCGTCGGCAGGTCCAAGTGAGGCACAAAAATCGTCGACCATTGATGTTAGCTTGTGCGAACGAATGTGGTGTACAAGTGGGTAAAACTCGATTTCACACAAAATTATTACATATCAATTTCTGATGATATATAATCTGTAAATGTAAATCAGTATAATAAATAATGGCAAACTTTTCATCTTTTATTTCATTGTTATATAAATCTTTTATTTATCTCTAATTATCTTATCACAATTAAAAAAACCCGTGCTTTGCTTTTCTTCATCAAATAGCTACGATGATTTTGACAAATAAATATTAAAATCCATTAAAAAAAAAAAAAAAAAGAAAAAAGCACATTAATTGAGAGAAAAATAAAATTAATTTTGTAAAAGTTATGGATTTATCTCACTGAATTTCACTGAATTTGATTTTTATGTATCAGTAATTTGCAAACGTATACAAGTTTGTTATAAATATAACTAGCGGATCATAAGATCAGCTGATTGTCAGCTGGCTATAAGATCAGCTGATTTTATGATCAGCTGATCATACGTACGTACTATATATTATTGCATAGTTAAAATATAATGAAATCAATCTCATGATGTCAAAAAGGAATTGAATTAATTTTATACCTCGCTGTAAGTTTATGTCAAATTACAAATTTGAGATTGAGACTTGCAAACTAAAAATTAAAATTCAATCAGAGCAAAAAAAGAGAATTAAAATTAAAGTTATCTAGTTGATCGTAGTGTACTATCGCCCATAAACTGACTTATTGATATTTGAATTCAAAAAATTTTATTTATATTTAATATTTGTTCTGTAATGTAAAGAATATTTGTGGAATCGTAATATGTATATAATTTGTATATTATATGTCAAAATACACACATGCTTCATTGGATACATCCTAATAATATTTAATTTAGACATTACGCTTGTTAATTCTTGGATATAATATTGAATATAATAATAAGAACTGTTTAACTTAATTTTCTAAGAGATGTGCGA